AGGGACTAGTAGCATGTTTCCAGGGTTTGGGGTCACCTGCCAATTACGATGTTAAACTGTCACTCATAGGCCCACAGCTCAAATTTGGCAAAAACCCTAATGATTAATAGGCCACCACTTTGTTTCATGTTCAAATAGCCATAAAATCCCCGTACTCCAGGCCTCTCTGGGCCAAAAAGCTGTCCTGGAAGAGCTGGACCCCAGTCCTGCACCACTCATCCCAGGGCCTGCCCACCTGTGTCATGCTTCCCTCTCTACTCCCAATTCAGCGGCGATCTGAGCCAGAGGGGTCTCTGTTCCACTTCTCAAAAATGCTGCCCTCCCACTTAGCATGGGTCCCAGAGTTACTGATAGAAGCTGGTGCTGTGAGTAGACCCCTGGAGTGGCCACTGGTCCTCCAGTGCTCCTGCTCCACTGCTCAGGCAGCCCTCCAATGCTCCATCTTACTGGCTGATGCGCCACAGGGTAGGTTCGTTAATTTTTATTCTTCCTGGCTGTTCACCCTGCCTCTCCTTCCTTTCTTCTCCTTTTCCACTAAATCTGGTGTTCTCCAACTTCATGGGCTGTTTACGGCCCCAGAATCCTCGCTTCAAACTGCTGTACCTAGTTTTTCAGGCATTAAGATGCTAGAGGGAACAAATATGTGGGCTACAGGTAAGACACCATCTTCCTGAATACCAGTAATAAAATATTTAAATTAATGTTGTGAGTTTTAATATACTTATTTAAAAATATTTTCTGTTCTGGGAAAATTTAAACAACTTTAGTGCCCTGAAAGAAAATTAACTATTGAAAATATATAAAAATGTAAATATAAAAAAATGAAAATGTAAATATAAAAAAATGAAAATGAAAATATAAAAAATATAAAAAAGGGGCACCATTTTTCCTTTTGCCTCAGGCTCTAGTTTGGCTTAACATAACATTGGACTGTATTTATAATTTCAGTGTTTTAAATCAGGGTTTTTTTTTGGCATTAATTTTGACTTTTAAAAACTATTGCATTAAAATATTATTTATCTTGATTACTGAGATTTTGGTGCCTCCTTAAATTTTGTGCATAATTTTTACTCTCTTCATCCAAAAATCTCAACTCTGGTATTCTTACTGTCTTTTCAAAAGTAATAAGACTTATATTCAAAGGAATTTTATTATTAAGCTACAGTGAAGGTTAGCAAAAAGTTCATATAATCAGTCCAGTTAATTACCTTTTATTTACGTATTCATTATTTATTCAGTTACTCACTTGTATCAGTAAGGGCAACCAACAGGGTTGATGAGGCACAGAAAAGAGATAGAGGAGAGTATAATTATAGTTTGGAAGTCCAGACAGGTGTAGTATAAATTTTTAAATTAAAACAAAATGAAAATAGGTTTCATAATGTTAAAGTTAGCTGAGAAATATCTTTTAAACTTTTGACCTTAAACATAGTGACAGTAGTCTTGTGGGACATCTGGTCAGTTGGCATATTATAGTTCATAAAGTTATGTTCTACATCCTAGTTTGGTGAGTAGTTTCTAGGGTCTTATAAGCTTGCGAGTGACCATCTAAAATACAACTGTTGGTCTCATCCAGAGTAAAAGAGAAAGAAGGAAACCAAAGACTCAAGGAAGAAACTAGCTTACTGGACAAAAGTTTTGCATGAACCATGGCCTCATCTTCCCTGAGAGCAGAAGAACTAGATGGTGCCCGGCTACCACTATTGACCATTCTAATCAGGGGTACAATAGATGGACCCTGGTAGAGTGGGAGAAAAATGTGAAACAGAATTTCAAATTCCTTAAAGAAAACAAAAATAAAAAGCACACTTTCTGGACTGATTGAGACTGGAGGACTGTCTGAGACTTGCCCCAAGATACTCTTCAAATCTTGAACTGAAACTAACCCTTGAGGTCACCTTGTAGCTTAATAATATATTGGCTCACAAAATAATTAATATCACCCATAAGTACTGTGCTCCTTTAAAGAAAATCATCTGTATGAGATAAAACAGGCAAAAATTACTTTAAAACAAAGATATAAGGGGACAGGGAAATGAGATTAATGGAAACAGAACAACCAGAGTGGGAATATTATGAATGTTCATGTAGATGAATAATGTAACCAGCGTCACTGAACAATTTATATAGAAATTATTGAAGGAGAATCATAACTGCTAAGCCTTCACTGAAAACACAATAAAATACTATTAATATATATATATATATATATTTTTAATTTTAAATTCCTAACATGGCCACACATATCTATCACATACTTACCACCATTCCTATGTGAGAACCCTCTGCCTTGTATTCCCACTGCACACATTTTTCTTTCTTATGTTCCTATTGAAAGAGGTCCTTAAAGAATAGTCAGTGCCTTGTCTTGTGAGAAAAATGTGCTTACTGTGTACCAGGCACTTTCCTATGCTTTATGTATATTAATTCATTTAAACTTCATTAAAAGTTTTCTGTGATAAGCACAATTTTCCAGCCGCATTTTACAAATGCAGGAACTGAAGCATAGTGAATTAAGTAACTGGCCTAGGTCACACAGCTAGTAAATGCAGAGTCAGGATTTGAACCCTAGCAGTCTGGTTCCTAAATCTGGTCTCATACCTGTTAAGCTGTACTGTTTCACATGTACAAAAGTTTTTGAATACAGGATGATGTAATAAGTCAAATATGTATGGTTTCCTATTGCTGCTGTGTCAATTTACCAGAAGTACTGACAGGTACCAGGGTTATATATAATATTCAGAAGAAAGTGTTTCCCAGAGTGTGTTGCAAGATAATGGCTTAATCATTTCTGGGAAGACAACTGTTTTTGCTGACTCTATCCAGAGTCTTCTGGGAGGTTGAGTGTCTGTTGTCCTGCCATCCATCACGAGGTCCTCAGATGGTGTAATGAAGCACATAGTAAACAGGCAGGATGGACTTCGCTCAATAATGGATGAACATGGGGGCAAGGACAAGTCCCTGGGCTGAGGAAAGGTAAGAAAAATCCCATGGGCACAGCCACTGTACCTTAGCTGGGAGACTGCCCAGCGCAGAAAATTCTGGCTTTAGACTCAAATTACTGGATATGCTTTGGTGAAAGGAGTAGTAGGGGAGGGAGGACACTTTAACTTCTTCTACCCAGTAACAGTCCATTAGTGATTTAGGCAGTGTAACCTAGTCTGGGTCATGGCAATGATGAGCTCCAGTGTTAGGTGTTTAAATAGTGGAATAGTTATATGAGAGTCCCTCAGATTGCCAATGATTTTGTTCTAATTAATGAATTCCTAATGAGTGTGTGTTTAACTGGAGTCACTGCATGGGGCAAATAGCTGCTAACCAAAAGATTGGAAGTTTAAGCTTACCCAGAGGCACTTGGGAGCTCTGGTAGCATAGTGCCTAAGGCACTTGACTGCTAACCAGAAGGCTGGTGCTTCAAACCCACCAGCCACTCTTCGAAAGGAAGGTTGGGCAATCTATTTCAGTAGTGATATCACCTCAGAAACCCAAAGAGGGGTCATTGTGAGTCGGGTCTGACTTGATGGCAAACAGCAAGAATAATAACAACAGCAGAGGCAACTTGGAAGAAAGGCCTGGTGGTCTTCCAGACAATCAGCCATTGAAAAACCCTATTGAGCATAGTTCTAATTTGACCCACACGGGGTCACCATGAGTTGAAATTGAGTCAGTGGCAACTGGTGGTAATGCATTTAAGTAATGTACACGCTGTCCACATAGATATGCCTGTAGCAATTGTCAAGATAGTGGCTCGATTCCTTGGTAAATTGTCTCTTTGAATTACATAGTTGTTGTTGTTGTTATGTGCCATCGAGTCAGACCTGACTCATAACGACCCCTCCTTGGGTTTCTGAGGAGGTATCACTACGGAAGTAGATTGCTCAACCTTCCTTCCAAGGAGTGGCTGGAACTGCCAGCCTTCTGGTTAGCAGTCAAGTGTCTTAGGCACTATGCTACTAGAGCTCCTAGAATTAATTAGTATAGTAAATGTGATTTGATACTCAATTTTAAAATATTGCAAACAAATTTTCATTAGGGGGTATATGTATGCTTTTTTTTTCTTTTTTAAATATAATTTTAGAGAAAAGATTCTTTTGCCTAAGACTTTGATATATTTACAATTAAAGGCTTATCTCTTTTTTTGAGGTTAAGATTCTATTTTAGAAGCTATACATAGTATTTAGGTAGGTTGTCAGGTCATCTCCATACTAAAGGAATGAACACATTTATAGGAAGCTAGGTAATCTGTTTTCAGCCTCATGGGAAATCTTGCACCAAAGTTTTTCAGTGGACAGGGTAGTTCTGAGTTTATTTGATTCCCTTTCTTTGGTAGTGACCAGAGCCCTCTGCTAGAGCGTTTATTGGTGGACTGATCCTTGTAAATGTGATTACCTTTGCCAGGGAAGAAGGATGTCATCCTAAATATTTGTAAAATGTTCTTGTAAAAATGGTTTGTGAGCAGTTCTATGTTATTTTTAATTTTTGAGGTTTTTTTTCCTTTAATTTTAAGGCATTCATTTTACAGTAGCATAGTGCCTAAGGCACTTGACTGCTAACCAGAAGGCTGGAGGTTCAAACCCACCAGCCACTCCTCGGAAGGAAGATTGGGAAATCTACTTCCGTAGTGGTACTGCCTCAGAAACCCAAGGAGGGGTCACAATGAGTCAGGTCCAACTCGATAGCACACAACAACAACAACAACAGGGGTATTTACATATAATCTACTTTGGTCATTTGTGTTACCATAATATCAATTGTTTTGAATATTTTAAAAGTTTTGAAGAGGTACATACTTAAAACACTTTGATATTAAAATTATCTCTCCCTCTGTGGTATTACTTTGCTTCTGAAGGTCATCCTTCTTTCTTTTATTTTTCAAAAAATTATATCTTGTTATAAATAATTTTTTCTAATACTACATTCTTTTTCTTTTTAAGATAGATCTGAAATATGCATTCATATACTTCATTTTAAACTTTTAAACATTGTTTTAAAACTTTTAGGCTCGACTTTGAAGAAGCTTCTACACACTGGAAATTCTATTAAGGTATTTATTTTGGATGAAACTTTATGACATTTTTCATTACTCTTAAATTTATCAATGCTATGAAGTGACAAAGTTATGCCATTTTGAAAAAAAAAAAGACATTAAAAAAAATTTTATTGTGGTTTGGGTGAGTTGACAGAGCAAATTCATTTTCCATAAAGCAGTTCACATATACTTTGTTTCATGACATTGACTGCAGTTTCCCACAGTGGAACAGCTCTCTTCCTTCTTCCTCCCCATAATTACCTTTTCCGTATGTCGTTCCTCGCATGCACTCCTGTTCTCCAAGCTGTCTCGCTACGCATATACAGCCCTTCTATTCTCCCATGATTGATCTCGCCAAGTCATGTATCTATACCTAATGTAAATGTTCAGCTCATATGCCTGTCCTTGTTTGACTGGAAGCCACAGGGGTGTGGGTTCAATTCTATACCTGAAGGGCAGCTAGGGGCCATAGTCTGAGGGGTTCCACCAGGCTCTATCAGACCATCAAACCTGGTCCCGTTTTTTTTTTTTTAAATGATTTTGAATTTTGTCCCACATTGTTCTCCCTCTCTATCCAGGATCTCCTATATAGATCCATCCCCCTCTTAGTGGTTGACAGTGGTAGCTGGACACCATCTAGTTCTTCTGGTCTTAGAGACATATAGGCTAAGAATTGCATGGTGTACCAGTCGCTTGGGCTAATTTTTTCTATGCATCTTTGGTTTTCTTTTTTCTTCTTTGTTCTGGATGAGGAGAGACCCATCATTGTATCTAGATGGCTGCTTACAAGCTTTTAAGATCCTAATTGCTACCTGCTAAAGTAGGATGTGGAAAAAAGACAGCTTTAAAACCTCTTGACTGAATTTTTATTTTTAATCGAGAAACTATATGACAAATATTGCTAAGGTTTTTATTATTATACTATAATTTACTATGGTAGAAATTTTCAATATTGGGAGAAACTAGCTTGGGATTCGGAATCTAGAGCCTGAGTTGTAATGCTGGTTCTGCTGTCTACAGCTGGGGAACATTGGCAAATAACTAACTGCTCCAGTTTTATCATCTGAAATAGGAAGAGTTTGGTCAAGTTACCTTCTAAGCTTCAGTGCTTATTCTATCCACCCCAGTAATTTGGGTTAACTTGCAATTGCCTTTGAATTATTTTTGATAATCGTGAGAACCTTTGTAAGGAAAAGAGCAATGGTGCTTTAATCTTGGATACTTATTTATTTGCATCATATTGTTCTTGTAATTTAGTCTAAAATCATCTTATTTTTAAGTGATTTTATGACGTACCATTTGCTACTCGGGTAAAATGACACAAAAACATAAGTTGCAGCTAGCAGCTAGTCTGGGGTGATTATGGAAGAGAATTCACTTGTTGCTAAGTTGTGTGTGTCTTTAATAAACCAGTATATTTTTGGTTTATATCAGTTTAAACAATCACAGCCACTTAAAACTTGAAAGGTTAGCTCTCTCTTAAATATTGAAAAAAGAAGAGCATTTCCTAGCCTCTTATTTTGTCCCTACTGTTTTTCTAGGATAGTCTTAGAGTTAAAAGCTATCATGTTATCTCATGTTTATTATGCCCTTATTTATATTCAGTTATCTTAAATACAGTTAACATAATAAGTTGCTGACTTATGATAGAATGTCATAAAACTTTCCTCTTGTTAGATTTAATAAAATTTGACTAAATATACATAGAGCTGTGTCATCTTTGTCTTGACAGCTGAATAGCATTATTATGCATTTAGCATTAGGCATTCCTCCCACCTGAGGAGAGGAGGGAAAATGTATGTGGATGTCAAAGTTTGTGCAGAGCAGTGCAGAGCCTGTTTTGAAGTGTTCTCTGAAATCTACTTATCAAATGAGTGTAGCATACTCTCCAAATCTAGTGTCTGTCTTGGTGTATTTGTTTTCTATTGGAAATGATCTAACCTCCTTATTTGTCTTTCTTTGACTCTTCTTCTTCATTTGGTTTTTCTGTAGAATCTTGTGTTTTGCGTGCAATACCCTTGCTTTAATTGACAAGATGGCTGGAGATCAGGCAGACATTTCTGTGGCCTGCAGTTGAGCTGTCTATGTCTTCCAGCTGCTTCTGATATTTCCATCTCTTTTGCTTATTTAAAGTCTCTTATTGATATCTTCTCAGCCATTTAGGACTACAGGAATGGAGGCACCAATGTTCTTGAATTCTAGACATAGTATGAAGTTATAAGTATAAGGAGGAAAGAGGACATAGCTACCTATATTGATTGAATGATACAGGAAATATCAAAAGAAGATGGAAGGAATACACAGAGTCACTTTACCAAAAGAATTGGTCGACATTCAGCCATTTCAGGAAGTAGCATATGATCAAGAACTAGTGGAACTGAAGGAAGAAGTCCAAGCTTCACTGATGGAATTGGTGACAAACAGTGCTCTAGGAATTGATGGAATACATATTGAGATATTTCAGTAAACAGATGCAACACTGTCGGTACTTACTCATTTATGCTAAGAAATTTGGAAGATAGCTGCCTGGCCAACTGACTGGAAAAGATCCATATTTGTGCCCATTCCAAAGAAAGATGATTGAACAGAATGTGGAAATTATCAAAAAATACCATTAATACCACACTCAAGTAAAATTTTGCTGAAGGTAATTCAAATATGGTTGCAGCAGTATATTGACAAGGAACTTTCAGGAATTCAAGCTGGATTTGGAGGAAGATGTGGAAGTAAGGGATATCTTGGCTGATGGATCTTGGCTGAAAGCAAAGCGTACCAGGAAGATGTGTACCTGTGTTTTATTGTCTATGCAGAGGCATTCAGCTGTGTGGATCACAACAAATTATGGATAACATTGTGAAGAATGGAAATTCCAGAACACTTAATTGTGCTCGTGAGGAATTTGTACATAGACCAAGAGGCAGTCATTCAAATGGAACACAGGAATACTGCATGGTTTAAAATCAGGAAGGGTGTGCATCAGGGTTGTATCCTTTCACTGTACTTATTCAATTTATATGCTGAGGAAATAATCTGAGAAGCTGGACTATATGAAGAAGAATGTGGCATCAGGATTTGAGGAAGACTTATTAACAACTTGTGATATGCAAATGACACAATTTTGCTTTCTGAAAGGTAAGATGACTTGAATACTTACTGATGAAGATCAACCACTGCAGTTTCCAATATGTATTACAAGTCAACATAAAGAAAACACAGATCCTCACAATGGGAGCAATAAGCAACATAATGATAAATGGAGGAAAGTTTGAAGTTGTCAAGGATTTCATTTTACTTGGATCCACAATCGATGTCCAGGGAAGTAGTAGTCAAGAAATAAGACATTGTATTACAGTTGGCAAATCTGCTGCAAAAGATCTGTTTGAAGTGTTAAGGAACAAATATGTCACTTTGAGACTAAGGTATGCCTACACCAATCCATAGTATGCATGTGAAAGTTGCACATTGAATAAGGAAGACCGAAAAAGAGTTGATGCCTTTGAGGTGTGGTCTTGGCAAAGAATACTCAAAATACCATGGACTGCCAGTAGAATGAACAAATCTGTCCTGGAAGAAGTGCAGCTGGAATGTTTCTTGTAAGTGAGAATAGCCAGACTTTGTCTCACCTACTTTGATCATGTTGTTAGGTGGTGCTGACCATTCAGAGCATGGTGAAGGCATTGGTGAGAACCAAGGTAGAGACATAAACCAGGGAAGCTAGAGAACTGCCCTGATCCCGTTGACCAGATCTTCAAGGATTTTCCTTATTTAGCTCCAAATGTTCTGATTTTCAGGATTATACATGTGCATATTATAGTGACTAGACAAAAATTCTATCCAAAACATAGTGAAAATTTGGAGGAAGATTATCTTTGTCATCATTTTCATGGATAATCGAGTGTTGGTGATAAGGTCACTGTTCTGTTATAGATTGAAATAGTGTTGATAAGCAGTACTTCCATAGCACTTACTGTGAGCTGGCACTGTTTAAATGCTTTACGTAGTTTAACTCACTTAGTCCTTCAAGAAGTACTTTGTGGAGAATCCCTATTTACAGACTCCATGGAGACTGAGGCATAGAGAGGTTTAAGTGTTTCTCCTAAGGTCAGAGCTAAAAAGTGGCAGTGTCTACATTGGAACCCAGGCAGTGTGGCTGCACAACCCCAAGTTCTCAGTCCTTGTGCTCCTTGATTACTTGTCCCGAAGTGAAAATCTTGGTGCTGTATTGTAACAGAACCTTCATTTATTTATTTTTTTTCCTCAAAACTGATGCTTCATTGCAGTGAATTTCTGTACATATATGTGTCTCATTTTTTTTTGTTTTAAATTTTATTTTTAGATAAGATGTGAAGGAATCAGGTTGTTTCTTCTATGGCTTCAAGCACTTCAGACAAACTGTGCAGAAGAGCAAGTGCTGATTTTTGCTTGCCTTGTCCCTGGTTTCCCAACAGTCATGTCATCCAGAGGGCCCTGTACACTGGAGACACTCCTTAATCCTAACCTTAATGTAGCTGATGGTGAGTATTAACAGATCTTACATGTTGAAGTTACTCTTGAAGTACACTGAGAAAATCTTTGTCATTTTCCTGAATAGAAATTCTGATTTCATAGAGGGGGTCTAAAGGGGAATTATTCCTATTCATATTCACAGTAGATTCTTATAAATATTAGTATTGAAAGAATTAGAGCCTATTTTATGTGAAATGATGACAGGAGAAATTTACTGACGTAGAAACAGAAATGGAAGGGAAGGGGAAAAATGTTGGTAACAGTGGAAAGTATAAACACATAGTATATCTGGAATGTTTTTGTGGCTATTAATGAGATTTAAATTTGCTATCCAAAGCTACTGTCTATTGTCCTCATTACTGTTGTTTCATAAGTGGGCATTCATGTGATCACCTAGGATCTTATTTTGCCAGATGTATATTTTCATGCAACATTTGTTGAAGAAGAGTAGTGGCTTTATGGACTATTAATAGTGGCTGTTTGTGTCCTGGGAATTTCAAGGAACTTGCCTCTAAGGGCTATTGATTTATTATTGCGTGTCACTTTATTGCTCAGTGATGGACATTTCATCTTGCATTGAGGAAAGCAGAATCTAAAAGGAAAAATAATGATCAAGTGGAAGGGGTAATGGGAGAATTGGCATCACAGGCACCTATAGCTTGTTTCCAGTTCCTCTGCACACTGACATGGGCTTCAGTGTAAGTGGTTTGATGGATGGATGGATGGATGGATGGATTTTTATAGAGATCATTGTATGTGTTTTTAAAACCCTATTTAAAATTTAACTTTGGTGAAAGAGCTCTCATTATTTTCCACTGTATAGCAAAGATATATCCAGAAGAAATCACTCCGCTTGTGCCAGCCATATCAGGGGAAAAGATCACTGAGGACCAGACATGCTATTTTCTTCAGATACTGTTGAAGTATATGGTCATTCAGGTAAGAACATAATTGTAAATGTTTGAGTAGTCTCAGTAGGAAAGAAAATGGTACCCTCCTTTTATCTATGCATTCATAGTTTATGTTTTTGCTTTTTCCTTGGATGTTATTTTGCATGTTATTTTAAACACAGAGGGTGTGCCACTTTTAGGTCACTTCAGCCAAGAGCAGGCATATTTTGTATGAGTGTGTTTGTGCAAATAGAGTGGAACTATTTTTCCATTTTTATCCCTTTCCTAATCCTGACCTCTGCGCTAGTGAGACAGGCTCAGGGAGAAGCAGCTCAGAGGCTGACTGGGTGGATCAGGAGTAGGCAGAGCACGTGAACATTCATGGCTTTCTTCTTATATCATCAGCACAGGCCTGTTCACATGACATATTCATGTTTTTTGTGTGCACTGACTACAGAACTGAAATCATTACTTTATGATTTTAACAGGTGATTTAATTCTCCTTGTCTGTATTTCTGAGTATTAATATGTTTGCAATAAAATCTGCTGATTCCTTTCTTTCAGCTAAGATTTCTTTGTTCCTGAATTCCACTGGGGGTGTAATTCTGTCTCAGTTCTTCCCTTCACAACTGAGTTTGTTGAAATACTAATTTCTACCAAGTCCAGTTTGTCACCTAATGTTCTTTTGACACCCACTGCAACCTACCTTCTGCCCTGTCACTGTGAAACAGCAGGCCCCAAGGCCATGAAGGGGTTCTAGTGGCCAAGTCCAGGGAGAGAATGCTCTTCATATTTTGTTCTACTCAGTTTCAGGTGATCTGTTACTCACTACCTCTCCTTCATGAGATTCTCTTCTCTTATGACATTTTCTTCTGGCTTTTCTCCTCCCTTTCACATCTTCCAAGTTTTCTTTAGGCTCCTGTTTTTCTCTTTACTGACCCTCAGGATTTACTCTTGGCTACCCTTTCTGTTCGTCATTCTTGCTGAGCCAACTTGCCCCTTGTCCTCTCCCATTTCCTTTAGCCAGACACTGCCAGAACCACAAGGACTCCCAGGCCTCAAGAACCCAACCAGGGGATTCTACTGTCTTTTGGAAGTTCCACATTTTGGTTCTTTTGGAAGTTCCACATTTTGGTTGTTATGGCTTTAGCATCCCAAACTCCATCTGTCCAGATATGGTTGGGAGACTTCTGTTATCTATTTTTCCTCCTGGCTACTGTGGGGTTGTCTCTGCTGTTGAGTTGTTTTGGGGAAAAATACCATGCCATTTTTTGAGTTTTGTTTAAAATACTATGACTTTGTTACATGCCTGTCAATATTATTTCTCAAGTTTTTTATTTAGATAGAAATTGTAATAATATAACAGCATTTGACTTCAGATTATATTAATTTGAAATAAAAATATACATATGTTCTTTTCCATATATTATCCAAAGGCTGCAAGCTTGGAGTGGAAGAATAAGGAGAATCAAGATACTGGTTTTAAATTTCTTTTTACTTTGTTTCGAAAATATTATCTTCCTCATTTATTTCCGTCATTTACTAAGTTAACAAACATCTACAAACCTGTACTTGGTAAGTACTGGTTGGTTTGTCTGTAGAGGCTGTCCACAGGAAAGCTGTACTGTTTCTTCAAAGTGACCTTTGATTATTTTTAAGTAAAATTGTCATTTATTCATGTGCTTAGTAGTAACTGTAATTATCATAACAGGTTTAAAGTTTCCTAATAATGATTTTAATTATTTATACAAACTAAGATGTACCTCATTCTTAGTAATGGGTGTTGAGGGGGATGACAGTGGCTTCCATACTCAGAAATAATTTGAAATGTGTTATGGTATTTTTGATGTAGTCGTATCTACCATCTTTTAATGTTAAAAGCACTTACATTTCTTAAAGTTTTCTCTTAGGAATAGTAGGTTAATATGACCCCAGACCTTGTTCAGTGATAAGGTAGCCTAGCTCAGGGCAAACCACTGCACACAGTGTACCCTTTCTATTAATTTCATCCAGGAGGCTTTACTGGCAGTTGTTTATGTAAAGGGAGATGGTTGAGCATTTGGATGCTAAGGATGGTAAGCCTAAGAGGGGTAGAAACAAGGAAATTTCTAATCTAGCTCCTAAAATTTTCTTTCTGTAAAAAAATGGGTCCTTACTGGACAGAATCTCATAGAGTGGTGAATGTGGGGACAATTCTTCCTCTCCCCATTAGTTTAAAAGGGTGAAACTAGTTCAAAGAAATAATTTTGGAAGTGAAAGGTCATACTGGACATCAATCTACTTGGGGAATGTGGGCAGCAGATTCAGTAGTAGTGGGTATTTGAGTGCACATGCACAAGTTTGCACACAAACTCTGGGAAGCAAAAGGCAGCAGAAGCTTAGTGTATTTGAAAGATTTAATAATACTCACTTTAGAAGTACTGGGACATGCATTGTATTAGATGTGTATAGTGAATGTTTTTCAATTTTTTTTTTTTCTGATTTTATAATATATATTCATTGTAGAAAAAAGGAGCCCTGGTGTTTCAGTGGTTAAAGTGCTCATCTGCTACCTGAAAGGTTAGCAGCTTGATTCCACCAGTGGCTCTACAGGAGAAAAAATCTGGTGATCTGCTTCTGTAAAGTGTACAGCCTAGGAAGCCCAAGGGACATTTCTACTCTGTCCTATTGGTTTGCTATGAGTTGGAATTGATTCAGTAACACAGAACAGTTTCAGGAAATGTAGTATATTGTTAATATTCTTAGATTAAAAGTTACTTACCAAGAATTTTTCTGCATTATGCAAGTTCACCCAGGTCTACACAAATTGATAAAATAGAGAGTTGGACTCAGGGCAGGTGGTATTTCAAATTCAATACTGTATAATTTTCATATTGATTATGGATATTAAGGAATGAGAAATGGACTGGACTTCTTATTAAATTCTTTGGAAATTATGGCATCTGATACATCAGAGATGAAATGTGACTTTTTGATTCTTTCAAGCATAAATTAGATTATGTGGATTCTATTTCCTTGGATTCATTTAAAGGAAAAAGATTATAAAACTGAAGTTCAGTGGATGAGATCTACTGTGTATAGTTGGATGTTAAAATATCTATAAAGATGGAAAAAAAAATGTCTACACATGCTTTTACATTTGTGCTAGCCACAAAGAGTATAATATGTATGAAAAAAGGAGCCTTAGTGGTATAGTAGTTAAGTGCTCAGTTGCTAACTAAGAGGTTGGCAGTTCAAATCCATCAGCTGCTCTCCAGAAGAAAGATGTGACATACTGGTTCTGTAAAGATTTACAGCCTTGGAAACTTTCTGGACTCAGTTCTACTCAGTCCTGTAGGTTTACTATGAGTTGGAATTGACTTGATGGTGATTGGTTATTGTTATGTTATAAGAAAACATTTTCACTATTATAGTCTCATAAAATTTCTTAAAGTTCTTAAAAAGTGTTGTTAGCTTAGTTTTCCCACAGCTGTATTCCACAGCTGTATGAGTACAACCAACAAAACCCAAAACCAAACCCACTGCCTTCTAGTCTATTTTGCCCCATAGGGTTTCGAAGACTGTAAATCTTTGCAGAAGTAGATTCGTATATTCTTTTTCTGTGATGCTGCTGATGGATTTCAGCTGCAGATGTTTTGGTCAGCAGGCATTCGCTTTAACCATTGCACCACCAGGGCTTGCTGTAATAGCAACAGCCACCCCATTTTTTTTTTTTTTTAATCAGAGTACAAGGTGGAATCAGAATGAGCCTACTAGAAGATATTATTTTTAATTATCTCTGGTTCTTTAGCCTTACTTGCTATTCATACAACCAGATATGTGTCTATTTAATTGAAAACTGAAACATTTATTGGAGTTATGTAATGTTAAGATTCAGTAACATAATCATGTATTCTTTTTTCTTCCAGACATCCCTCATTTGAGACCAAAACCAGCGTACATTACTACAACTCGGGACAATGAAAACATTTACAGTACAAAAATTCCATACATGGCAGCTCGTGTTGTTTTTATTAAGTGGATTGTAACTTTCTTTTTGGAAAAAAAGTATCTAACTACAACACAAAACACTAAAAACGGAGTTGACGTATTGCCCAAAATCATCCAGGTATATCATTCATCATCATTTCATTCTTAATACTTATGTGGTCAATCACAATAACATGTAGGCAAATTAATTAATTATTAGGGTTATTAGTTCTCACAGGTTGTTGGTTATTAGGGGATCAGTTTTATTGGTGCACCCTGTCTATAATGCTGAGGTTTTTGAGGAAGCTATGAATTGAAGCACTTGCTTTGTTCTAGTTGAATTACCATAATGAGGCAATCTAGGAGGTGAGGGAGACATTCTGAGAAAATGACTGTCCCTTACTCTCACCCTTTCATCAGTGACCTCTGAGCCTAAGACCAGGGACCTACCTGTCTTGCTTTTACTGATCACCAGTGCCTGTCATTGTACTTGTCACCTGGAAGACCCTTAGGAAACATCCAGAGTCCATAGAGAAGACCTGTGAGTCTGCCAAGTGTACTTTGAGATCTCAGGGACGGAATGGCTCATCAGCTCAGACTTTTGGGGTGGTTATTGAGCTATGATTATGGCCCTAGAAGAAAAGGCTGCCTTTCCCTGAGGCCTTTGATAAATACCTCTTCTTGTTTGGGCCCTGCAGCACTTTCTCTCTCTTGTTGGTTTCTGTGAAATACAAATAGGGGCTTTCTCAACAGGCAAGTGCTAGGGACTGTGCTTGGTAAGGACCACAACATCTTGTGTAAGTCAGAAAGCAGTCCTTTTACTGCGGGGTCACAGTTTTTTGTTATCCCCCATATCAGGGACCAGAAGTGTGCTACTTTCTGCACAGGATTCCTGATGCCCTGGAGGTCCTAGAAGGGTGAGCTGGAAGAATTCACAAACCTGAAGAGACAGATAGGTAGCCTATGCACTTCAAGGTAATCAATACCTTGATGGAGAAATGTGAGACTAAGAGTCTAGACCATGAAGTTCCATTGAGGTAGAACTGATTGAAGAGTTGGAGGACAAGTCTGAGGGAGATATATTTGACAGTAAGAACAAAAGACTTGCTGAGAAAAAGTTAGAACAAACACCTCCAGTTTCTCAATTTTAGAATTTAGTAGGTAAAATGAAAATATAATGACTACTGCTGAGAGCATAATTGGTTTTCTTAAGAAATATCTTCAGCACTGAGTAAAAATTCAAAGAGATAGAAATCAAAAATGAATAGACAGACTTAAGGACAGGTCTAGACTACCTTGCAAATATTGTGAGGGCAGAAAAAGAAAAGATTGAGAGGTAGTAATTGAACAAATAAGAAGAAAAATTTATCTGAGCTGGTGGCTGGGCACTTCAAAGAGAAAGAGCCCTTGAGTCCTAGGAAGGACTAGTAAAATAAAAAATATACATTGGCTTTTAGGGATTAAGAAAATTATACAGGCTTCAAGAGAGAAATCGTGGGTTAGTACAAAGGAACAAGACTGAGATTAGCATTGAGGATCTCATCTACAAGCCCTGGAAGCTGGAAGAATGCATGTCTCTGTCTCTGCCTCTCTGTTTGTCCTTCTTTCTCTGTCTTTCTCACTAAAAGGATGGTATAAACCAGCATCAAACAAAAGAAAAATGTTTTATTTGATAATCATGCCGGCATAATTGATTGGGACCTTCTTATCACATACATAAGCGAATTTCAGATTGATTTAAGATTTGAATATAAAAAAAAAGATAATAAAGAATTTAGGAGAAAATCTAGGGGAGTACATTGAAGTGGGAGACCACTTTTAGTAGAGAGAAGAGCCAGAAACCAGAGAGGAAATGAAGTTCAATTTTATTTAAAAAAGAAAAGTATATAAAAAGATTTATATATTAAAGGATAACACAAAACCAGATCCAGACATTAGGCTGTGAAAAAGCATTTGTAACATGATGACTGTTGAAAGAGTTAATATCTCTACTATATATAGGGTGCCTACAAATTGATAAGAAGACAAGCAGCCCAATTGAAAAATGGGCCAAGAAGATGAAAGGGCAATTCACAGAAGAGGAAATACAAGTAGCACCAGATTTACTCAAAATTCAGGGAAAGGCGTTTAGTTCAGAACCACCATGAGATACCATCACTCACCTATCAGGCAGACAAAAACTGAAGCCATCTGATTGTCCATTCAATTCAAAATAATTTCAGCTAAAGGATGTATCATTTTTCTGTCTGGTTTCAAAGGATCAGAAAACCACTACCTGTATTTATTGAAAATAAATTGCACATTGTTAGAGTAATACATTTTGGAGATGAGACATATCAAGAAGAACAAATTAACCACTGCTTCATGGTTCTTATTTTTCCCATAGTTGGCTTCTCACAGTTGTGAGTTATCTTTTATTATCTAGCTTTTTTGGTGTCATGAGAGTTTGACCTCCTGAGTCATTTAGGATAATTTTATCATCCTAAGAGAAAAAGATATAACAATTCAAATTATCTTAATATAAAAGGAATATTTTATTTCATAAAAATCTCACAGTAAAGCTGGCTGAGAATATGGTCTATCTATGCCTTCTCCATAATTCTCTGTAGTTTACTTCACTCTCCTATCTCACTTTGGCTATTTTGTCTTCAACTTCCCCTCTGATTGCAAGGTGGCTGCCAGCAACTGAGGCACTGGTTTCCTTGTTCTCAGTCAGAGGCAATCCAGAAAGATTAAACACCTTCCCTTTTTTTTCCTGAGTGGGACAATTTAAGTTGCCTGCCCATTCCTGGAACAATAAGAGTATGCCAGGCACTGATTGGGTGAAAGTTGAGTGTGTGAATGAGCCAGAAGTGCCATGATTGGCTCCCACTACACAGAACTTTCCCTTGGTGCTGTGGATGGGATTAGCCTCCTTGTGGTTCCTTTAGTTACATGAAGGAAGAGGCATATGCAGGACTGGAGAGCTACTAGGGAGAGGGAAGGATGCTGGGCAGACAATTATCATTTTCCTTTGTGGTGCAATACTCTGCAGATGGCAGCACTTAGAAATGGCCATTGCCATTATAGAAACTGTCAGTATATTTCATAGTGAGTTGTTATATTTGTTTCCTGTTGCTGCTGTAGCAAATTACCACCAATTTTATGGCATAAAACAGCACAGATTTATTATCTTACAGTTCTGGAAATCAGAAGCCAAAAATCAGTGTGAGTAGGCTAAAATCAAAATGTCACCAGGGCTACCCTTCTTCTGGAGGCTGTGGGGGACAATTTGTTTCCTTACTTTTTCCAGCTGATAGAGGCCCTGCATACCTTGGCTTGTGGCTTTGCACCATATCATCTTTTCTCCTGTTTCCATTGCCACATAGCCTTCTCTGTCTCTCATTCTGTTACTCCCTCTAATGAGGACCCTTCTGATTACATCAGATTACATTATTACATCAGATAATCCAGAATAATCTCCCTATCTCAGCATCATTAATTTAATTGTCTGTACAATCCCTTTTGATGTATAACATAATATATTCACAGGTTCCAGAGATTTGGATGTGGACAACTTTGGGAATCTATTACTTAGACAACCAAAGTTGTATCTTCTAGTCCCTTTTGTGATTTATAGCTGTGTTTTTCACTTCATCTCATATGTGTCTCATCTCATATGTGTTTCACTCTGTGATTTACATTGTGTATAAGAAAAAGCAGCAATTTATTTATTTATTACTATTATTTGTGGTTTGGCTGAAAGTTTACAGAGCAAATTGATTCTCTTTTCAACAGTTCATACACATTTTGCTTTGTAACATTGATGACAGTCCCCACAGTGTAACAACACTCTTCCCACTTCTTCATGTTTGCTATTTCCCTTTGTCCTTCTTCCCTATCCTTTTCTGCCTTTTGAGTTTTATCCCTGGGCAAATGCTGTCCTTTTGATCTCCTATGGTTGATTATTCTAATGAGTGTATATCTTCCTGGTATTATTGCTCACTTTATAGACCTATAGTTTGGCTGAAAGTTGAGCCACAGGGGTGAGTTCAGTTCCAGGCTTGAAGGGTGTTTAAGGACCATAATCATGGGCATTTTACCAGTCTCTATCTGAACCATAAGCTTGGTATTTTTTTTTTTTTTTTAATGATTCTGAGTTTTATTCCATAGTTTTTTCCCACTCTACCCAGAACCTTCTATTATGAGTCCTTTCAGAGTGGTCAGCAGTGATAACTAGGCACCGTCTAGTTCTTCTGGTCTCAGGATCATGGAGGCTAGGGTTCATTGGTTTATTAGTCCTTTGGATTAATTGTTTCCTTGTGTCTTTGATGTTCTTCACTCTGCTTTACTGTAGACGGGGAGAAACCAGTAGTTGCATCTTAAGACTGCTCAAAGCTTTTAAGACCCAAGTTGATACTCACCAAAGTAGGATGTGGACCATTGTCTTTGTGGACTATGTTATGCCACTTGACCTTAGTGTCCCTCAAGAATATGGTTCTGAGCTCCTAGGCCCAGAGCCTCATTTCCCTAAGGTGTTTGGTTATGGCTAAGAAGTTTTCATAACCTTACCCCATGTATGCTCTACTATATTCATAGTTATATTTATAGTATATATTAATATATATGTAGAAATAGCCTCTGTCAAAGCTATATATATTTGGATTTTTTGTTTTTAAACCTGTAAGAAACAGCTCTAACATCTCTCATGGCTCAATAATCTGTTACTTTTTAACCACTAACTACCATTTCCCACCCCCACCCCCAAAAGGAAAAGGAGGAAAAAAAAAATATGTATATACGTATGTAGCAAATTAAAAATGCCTACAAATTCATTGGAACTACTTCCATGAAATGCCAAGGCTATACATATTTATGGAAGCAGATTGCCTCATCTTTTCTCCCATGGAGCAGCTAGTAGGTTTGAACCACGTATCTTTTGGTTAGCAGCGGAACACCATACCCACTGCGCCACCAGAGCTCCTGATAAAAAGATAGATGAGTAAAATTTTATTTTTCTGTGGAAAATAGTTGATCTATCAAAAAGATGAAATAGTTCCATAGAGTAGCACATCTCACAGTGTGATAATGCCTTTGATAAGCCACAAAAGCTTAGTAGCTAACACATGAAGAGAAAAAATTTGTAAATAAAATTTTCCA